TGACAACCTAACAGTGTTGATCACCTAACAGTGTTGACAACCTAACAGTGTTGATCACCTAACAGTGTTGACAACCTAACAGTGTTGATCACCTAACAGTGTTGACAACCTAACATTGACAACCTAACAGTGTTGACAACCTAACAGTGTTGACAACCTAACAGTGTTGACAACCTAATAGTGTTGACAGGGGCGTTAAATCCAGGCACACTTTTTTTTACCTGTCCTCCTTGGTGACCTTGTACTTGTAGACAGAGCTAGAGGTGAACGTCCAGATGCTTCCTCGGATCGAGTCCTTGCAGATACCCTTCAGCTTGCCCGCTCGCTGTGCACAACAATATCATAAAATAGGTGTTAGCTAAGATGATTAAAATTTGGGTAGTTTTATGCCCACATCAACACTAATGCTCTCAGTGGTGAAACTGGAAGCAATTTTGTACAATGAATGAAGAATGAGCTTGAAAGCATGAAAAGTGTCATTGTGTTAGCAGTTGAAATGTTACTGGTACAGGTGATAGTCTTGGACAGGTGGCCATTAGAGCATGGGTGACATAATAATGCATCAACATTTTCAGTACCTGATCTGTAATTTACTTTTAAATGGCTCAAACTGTAAATAGCTCTAGAGAAAATAAAAGGATATGGAGTAAATTTGGAGTTTTAGTGAGAGTTTTATGGCACTTGCAACACCAAATAAGTAAGTCATATATACGTGTAGAAGAACGATAGATATTTGATAGGAAACAAGGAGCAAACCACACCAAAGCACCCGCCAACCACCCACACGAGTAAAGATGTACATCACTCTCAACCCGCAAAAATAAAAAGAGACAACTCACATCAGAGTATATGTCGTCATAGAGATACAAAGAGACAACTCACATCAGAGTATATGTCGTCGTAGAGATACAAAGAGACAACTCACATCAGAGTATATGTCGTCGTAGAGATACAAAGAGACAAGTCACATCAGGGTATATGTCGTCATAGAGACACAAAGAGACAACTCACATCATGTATATGTTGTCGTAGAGATACAAAGAGACAAGTCACATCAGGGTATATGTCGTCATAGAGACACAAAGAGACAACTCACATCATGTATATGTTGTCGTAGAGATACAAAGAGACAACTCACATCAGGGTATATGTCGTCATAGAGATACAAAGAGACAACTCACATCAGAGTATATGTCGTCGTAGAGATACAAAGAGACAACTTACGTCAGGGTATATGTCGTCGTAGACCATCTCCTCATTCAGGAAACACAACGCTTTCATACTGGGAAGGACAAAGACGAAAAAATAACAGCAACATACACAGCCCAAAAGGTCAGAACCCATGGAGAGAAACAAACTCTTTATCTCCGAAGGGGGTGGGGGTGAACCCACTATGTAGGGGCCCTCTTTGTGGTATAAAATCTAAAAGGGACAAATGCGTCACTAAACTGGTCATTAAATCAAATCAAGTGAACTTATTTTGATAGTTCTTTGTCTAATGAATGAACTCACAGTAAAAGAGACCTGTTTTCGGCAAGTTATTTTTTACGTTGAAGTCGTCATAAAAGAATGTACCTGAGCACCCGCCAACCACCCTTCAAGTTTTTTTACTTTCATTACCTCATAATTACAAACAAGATAAATGGTTATGTTAATAGTTAGGTTTTCTTACTTTTACTACCACACAATTACACACAGGTAAAAAATGGTATAAACAGTCGTGTTTTATTAATTTTTTTTCACTACTTCATAATCACATACAGGTAAAGATGATATGTCAAGTGTTGTTTTCTTACATTCTTTCACTATCTCAAAGCTACACACTGGCGAAAAGGGTATAAATGGTCATGTTTTCTAACATTCTCTTATTACCTCACAGTTACGCACAGGTGAAAAAGCTACGTTGTACGTTGGTCTTACCTGTCTGGGTAGAGCACCAGCATATGGAACTCCGTCAGCACCATAGATACGGGTTTGTTGGACCGGTCGTCTTCCTCTTTTTTGTATCTGAACCCACCGTTAAGGAGAAGTCACTCGCACAAAAAAATAGTTAGTCTTTTTTAAAAATTATTGTAGAGGGTTTTACGGCGCTCGCAACTGCATTAGGTCATATGAGCGCCAAGGGGTGGGTGTCAACAGAGAAGTCCTTACAGGGAATCAGACTTCCTCTGCTCACCTCTCTAGCTTCAACAGCACAAAGTCTGCT